GAAATTAACTTAAAATAGTAACTTGGGTGTTTCATCATTCAATTTAATAGTTATTATTCAAGGATTAGTTAGAATTTATATTTAATTATTAAACACCCTGAAATAAGTACTGTAGAATGTGGAACAATAAATATAGATAACAATTTTCAAGCATAGTGTAATTTATAACTGTAATACAATATTCTTTATCTTGGCATGTTTACATTATTTACAACATTTTTAAAAAGCATCAATCAATGCCAGAATCCCATCCAAACAAGTACAAATAAGAGATAGAAAGATCTACACAAAGCTTTAGGCCAGATTTTCTCCCTTATGTATTCAATTTGGATGTGTTTACATCCAGGCTTGATGTTTGGTCAGTTTTCCAGTTAGAAGCACTCTCTTCTAGATAATAAAAATTGATAAAACAGCTATAAAACTTGAAAAATGCCATTATAGGGGTCCCATAAATGTAAAATTGCCAGTAGACTTTGGGGATTTACACCTAGTGTTTGTCCCTTCACAGAGGCAAACATGCACGAAGCCACAGCAATAACCCTTCAAAATCAGATAATATTCTGACAGCTCAGTTTCACTGACAAAAGAGTCCTGGGCAGAAGCCAGGAGGCCCAGGTGCGCTGTGTCATGCCAGTATTTAATGTAGTCTAATATCAGATAGATGCTAGTGAGAGAAAATACTCAGAATAAAGTACAGATAATAGCATGGACAGCCACTCACTGCAAAATTACTCTTGCTCATCATGCTGTGAGCTTTGTATTAAATTTTTCTGTCAAGTGGCAGGAATCACAGAGAGAAGTACCTCAAAAACCTTCCTTGCAACCTTGGATAAGGATCTATAATATTAGGCTTTCATATGATAATGGAAAATGATGCCCTTTTTGAAAAATTGCTGACTGGTAATGAAAGTCCTAATCAGATTGCAGTTGCAGAGGACCAGGAGGTGGGGAAACCATGCCTGTGACACCCTTCTTCCTCCACCCCTTTAGCACATTTAGCAAACTTGACAAGATGGGCGAGTCTTAGAGAATTTATCTTACATGAATTTTCAACAAAGCCCGTGGGGTTGTTTTATAAAATGAGAAGGTGGCGGTTTAATAAATGTTGGGCCACCTGAGGCACTTTCATTAAAGGCCTTCTCGAGAAAACATCACGATGTTTGCATTACCCTCCCATCTTCCCGTGAGAATCCAAGTGTTACCTCTTCAGTGAGAGTCGATACTGTATGTGAAGGCATGAAGGAAGATGATTTGATTTGCCTTTTGGTGTCCAAAATAACTGTTTATAACACTACTATAGTTAAAATTAATTCAAATATGTTCATTGTCTTCTATTTGAATCCAGAATTGTAAGAAAAAGAAAGTGAAGAGACTCGGGAGGATTTCTCAGTGAATCTGACGAAGGTTAATCCTATGCTATCACTTCAACTAGAGTGATGTCCATTTGTTTGAAACTATAAAATAACCTTTCAAAAATATTAAAGGTGTACATTCTTTTAGCAATTTAAATAACCAGCTTATTAGAAAACTGCAAGGAATAGAGGTGCCTGACGAGATGTGGAAGTAGATCACTCCTATAAGTAACACGAAGCTGACTGTTAATGAATTTTTAATGTAATTTCTAATGTCAGTGAATGCATTTTCTAGTCCTAGAGAGGCAGGTTAAATAGGCGAGATTCATAGGCGTTTTCATCCGTTTCAATGGACTTACCATCTGTGTAGGCTTCTCTGCGCAGATGTCCTGGCTGGTGTTTTTGTTTCTTGGCTGGTCTGGTTTTCTGCATCACAGCAGCACTCATGTTGCTGTCTGTAGACACAGGACTTGTGGGCCTAGGGCACTGAGATGCATGAAAATGTCGGCGGCCTGAGGAAAAAAAAAAACAGAGCCAAACACATCAATGAATTTTAATTACCACAATAACAACAATGACAAAACATTAAAGCTAGAAAACAGCCCTAATTAAAAAAAAAAAAAAAAGCTCAAATAAAGTCTTCCAACAAATAATAGGCTTTTTGTCACACTGCTTGTGCTATCCACTGGAGAAAACACCCTAAAAGCATTTTCTGTTTTCTCTTTTTTTCCTAACCATAGTGCTTTTAATCTGTTAAAATTCATTATACCTACTTATTAAAGAAAAGCATTCCAATTATTTTGCAGCTAGCTTCCCTCAAATGTTATTCTTGAACAAAAATAGTAATTAATTTTTGCGTGATATATTCAATGTTTGTTGCTTTCTCAAGAGGAAGAGCCAGAATCCTTAAGAAATTCATGTTCTAAGAATGAAAAGTACTAATTACATCCTTATTTTAATTAAATATATATTTATGGTACTCTTTAAAGGCAGACTCCTAATATCTTAATACATTCTCAGGTATTTTCTTTTCAGGTGGCTGGAAATTGATTTAGCTTACATAGTTAGGCCTACCAAAAATTACTTACACCCCTTTTCTATCTCAAGATATTTGACTGTTCTGGATACTTAAGGTGACCCCTCAAGACTTCTGTTTTTTTGGTGGTGGCAGAGGTAGTTTTTGGTTATTTGTTTTGGTAGGAACAATATACCCAGGATGCAGTGGGAACTGAATTGACTAATCAGATATGGTGAATTTTAGGGCTTTCAAATTCTCTGGCTGTCTTAGATAGATGTTGTATTATAACAGGTTTGACATATTTAATCCATAATGGCAATGAGAGCTATTTGCACTATGCTTGATCTTCACTGTTTTGGTTTCTAGAAATTCCAGTCACAAATCTGGAACTTTCTATTCTGCGACAAGAAACTTCAAACAGACCTAGACAACATGTCTTTTGGCTCTGAAGCCACATATAGTGAAATCAATACATTTAAAGATGCCAACCAAAGCATATTGAATAATAGACATTACTGCAGTGAAGTGAGAAGCAAGGTGATTGGATTATTCTTGGATTTTTTTTGACTTCAGGTCACATGATAAGCACCACCATTTCCTGAAAAGACCAATGTAATAGGCAGAGGCCAATGCATGCTTAGTTCATTAGAATTATGAGACAAATGAAAACAAGAGTGTCACTAAGTTACAAAACAATAAAATATTAAACCAAACTCTCTTTAGCTATGATGGAGACTATTACAATTAAAGTTACATATCCGTGAAAACAGAGAAATAGGGCCAAGACTGAATCTATTATTCATTCTGTTGTGTAAGGCTATCTACTGCTCATGGACCCTGAGGCATAAGGTAGTTTACAGATGAATTTTCAACATAATTTTATGTTTTGTTGATTTAATGAACTGAAACACACTCTAAATGAAATCTGAAAGCAGTGGTTTGAGATGCTTAATTTCACTTTTTTTTCATAGAAGATTAAAAAATAAGGAGAAACAAAGCTACATATAAAGTTAGTTGTTATTTATTTATTAAAAAAGATAATTAGGTTTGCATAGCTTATTACATTCAGCAGCTACTGGGGGAATAAAAAGGATATTTGGTTGAATTTCATGAAACATAGCCCTGGATAAAATAAATATAAATTCTACAATAATAAGTGTAGAGAGATTAGACATTTTTTTCTGCAACACATTCTTGATAAATAATACAC